ATAGTCTCCACTCTAGTTCCTTTTTTCGTTTAACCAATTATATAGGAAGGATTTTATAAGTACGATGGAGACAATAGGTAGAGTCGGAATTCGTGAAGTTAGCAACTGCTTGCGGATGTGTGCCTGAGGTGCCGCTCGTGAGACTGGGCGATAGTAGGGATTGTTGCTTTGATGGCCAGTCTCCTCATCTTCAGCATTGATGTCGCCGTCAGAGGTCCATTTGTCGCCACCTTTCTGCCCGCCCAAGCCGTGTGATGGTGTGCCGCCGCTGCTGTGGTTGCCTTGTTGCTGGCCCCTGGCTGGCGTTGGTGCTGGTGTTGCTGGCTCTTGTCCTTGGTAGAGATCCGGAGCTGGCAGTATGGCATTCCATGGCATTCATCTTGAGCGTGGCGCGACACATTGACTATGTGTATGGCCTACTCATCTTAGGCCGCGATAGGCAGTATTGTGATTACGACACACCCTGGCTTCTTTGGGCCTGGGAGCATTGTGAAGGCATCATGGCAGGACGTCCTTCCGTTCCAGTCTCTGAAATCCCTGCCATCGAGCTTCCAGCCGATGTGCGCGCATCGCAGTGGAGGAGGATACGACATGTCACACGATACAATGATACCACCAACTCATCTTCTTGGTTCGTTGTTTTTCTTTTTCTCCCCACTCGCCTCCCGAATGTTTTGCTTCGCCTCTCCTCTTAGACTTGGTCTTGGGCAGGAAAGAGGAGTATGCATGCAGCGAGATCCTTGGCCGCGGTGGCTGGGGTGGGCAGCCCTTCCTCATCCGGGGTTTGCTGGAAAAGGAGCTTGAGTCTGAGGGAGCCTGGAACCTGGACTGGCTTGAAGCACATGTGCCGGAGGAGACAATCCATGTCATCCACTTGCCTTTCTATCGCAAGCATTGGGCCGATATTCGCCAATGCCCCTGGAAACGACGGGGTGGTGCATTTGAAACCAACGTGCTTGAGATTTCCACTACCATGAAAGGTTCTTCGGAGTTTTATGTGGCCTTTGCCGAAACGCTCTTCGGGGACGTGAAGGCGCGGGACTCTGACCCCGTGAGAGAAACTCTTTAAGACAGGAGGAAGACAGCTTTCATGCGTCGCATGGCAGGATCCGAGCAGATTTGGTAGGGCTCCAAAGTGAGATCTTTCGGTGGTTATTCTGGCGAAGTCTTCTTCGGAATTGGATGCTTGGTTACATTTGCGCACATGCATACATGGACATCTTTCTTCCATGAGCCTCTTATGTTTCTGGGAGTTAGAGCACTTTTGTTGCAGCAAGATCCAAGGAGATGCAGCGGAGAAGCAGCCTGCGGGTCAGCCGGCCCATTCTGCTTACATGCGCAACCTTTTTGTACAAATTTATGGGGAGAGGCGGTGGCGATTGTGGTCACCGCGACAGGCCCAGCTTATGCGAGTGCAGGGAGGTATCGGCTATGCTACTGCCATGGGAGCCCATACGCAGTGGAGCGTTAGGAATCCTGAGGCCATCGGCCTGAATGAAACGTATGCTGCCCACATG